TACCTAAATAACACCTCCTCTGGTTTGTCTGGCTTGATGCGTTTTCATAATGTAATGCTATGTATGATGCCATTTCTCAAATTGATTTTTAACAGGTTATATTATTTCTGTAAGATCCCCTATTATCCTTTGAGCTAAGCATGTGGCTGACAGTTGTGATGGAAAAGATTGACTCATGGGCATTGTTCTTGGCACGTCCCAAGGACTCATGGTGTAGCTGTAGGGGCAGCGTGCACTGGGCTTGGCTTAGGGAGAGCAAGCCAAGACGCTGCTTCTGCACGAGCTCCAGTCTGGTGCACAGGAGAGATATTCGGTGGCTGATGGTCACAAATGCTACTTGCAGCTGTGACTTACAGTGCGCCTGTAGCCCATGTCTGCAAATAGCCACTCCACCTGTCTCTCCTTGCTACATTCCAGTCTGGGGCGTTTGCTGCTGCTTTTTTCACTGAATACGCCACAGTAACATTCATGACATGTGTGGTTTGTTATATTAATTCTAAAACTACTCATACCTTCCAAGCCTCAAAAGGAAAAGAAAAATGAATTTGAAATTTTCAGGCCTCATGAAATTTCTGACCAGTGAAGAGTTTTCTTTGAATGAGGATAATGAGGGGTGTGAATGTACATTGAAAACCCTGATTATCAGTGAAAGAGGAAGTGAGAGAGACATCTCGTTAAAATACAAAACGCTAAAATGAAATCCACTACAACAGTATACAATCTGCACGCCAAAATTGTTTTGATTTACTGCATTTCAATGAATTACAGTAGTTTATAAATCTCTGCGGAAAGAGCATTTTTTCTATATCTAATAGGATAACTTACTTGGAAGCTAGTGCCAGTGCCCTTTATTCACTCATTCATTCATTGTCAGGAAATATTTATCACATGCCTACTGTGTGCTAGGCAGTGGGGATTTATCAGAAAACAAAATGAAGCTCCTTGTGGAGCTTCAGGTCTCAATTGTGGGGTTTTTTTTTGAGCGGGCGGTACAAAATAAGTAATCGTGTGTGTGTGCGATTATGTGATTATGTGCCAATAGAGAAAAACCCAATAGGACAAGGAATTATGAATAGCAGAGTGTATATGTGGGAAAGGGGTGTTCTTTTACGTAAAGATATTCTAGCAGACATCTCTGTTGTCACATCAGTGCTTTTGTTCAGCTGGATCTCTCCTATGTTATCTCTCTACCCCATGCTGAAAAGTCACCCTAAACTCCTGCAAGGTTTGTTCACACATCTCTTGGATTTCTTTTCTGCCTTGATTCACTTTCATTTCATCACTCATTGACCTATTATCAGAGCTTGTTTCCACAAGTCCTCCGTATCCGCCTAATGCTTGTCACCTAGTAATATAGTCTCCCGTTCTCTGGCTTTGATGACTTAGTATCTAAATAGCTCTTGGAGTTTCAACCTAATTAATTGGGTTTATCATTATCAACATAGAGATATCAACAACTTTAGAAGTGAGTTGCATTTTAAATGTTTGTCTTTAAGCCTTTGGCAACAGTTGTTTTGAGTGAGAACTTCGAAAAGAGGGAGAAAACTTTTGACCAGAAGCATTTCTTTCCTATTTTCAACAATGGCTCTCTGTAGGTGCAGCCTTTTATGTATAGAACAAGTGCAAATTTTCCTCTGAAAAGACCCAACTAGCCTCCAGCCTCTCATTCTTGTGCAGCCTGGCAACACACCTATGATGAAAGAATGTTCTGGAAGAAGTAGTGTTGACTTCTTGTAGCTTATTATAGTGTGTTAGGCAGCAATGGCATCAGTAATAATATGGGTTTGATATTTTCATGTTTACTTCTTGACCTTGGGGAGAGAATGGGAAACCCTATTTATGGTATTCCCATAATATTGTGACTTTAAATCAGAAGTCGCCAGGGATATTAAAAAGAGATGAAAGTTTTTTTTATCCTAGAAAAGAAAAACCCATTTAGAGCCTTATTCTTTACATTATGAGTCAAAGAGTGTAGAAAGTAGATATTCATAGAGAGTCAATACCCGGAATGATAGGTTAAAAAAGCAATTTTAGACAATGTAACGGAATAAAGACCATCCTTTCTTGTGTGTCAGAATGAAATTGTCCCATGCTAGTGTAGAAATACCAAAGGAAACAAATGCTTTTAAACATTGCCATGATGGGGGAGAAATACAGCATTTCTATTTATAACTTGCACAGAGTGCCACATAAAAATAGCTCAAACCAACAGATTTGCTCATCTCTGGAACACAAAGTTGTTGCTGCCAGTGACTTGAGCAATTCTAAAAAGAACAACGCCGGCTTTGGTAAATATTAAAAGTTTATTACCTTTCTTTTACCCCAGCTTTTAGATGGGGAGAAAATTACTTAGTGGGAAAGTCCTGTCTTCTGTATTACATATTTTGATATTTCCCAGACCATTTGTCTGTTTTTTAATGAAAAGGATGCATTTGTATCCCTCCGACTTCATCCCATGAGGTGACTCTATTAATGAGGATTCTATCTCTGTCCGTGCAATATTTGTCAGGCTAATAGATTTAACATTGCATACTTCTAAAGGCTATTTTTTGTGTGATTGGTGTGACAGCAAGAATATTAGGGACCTCAGAAGTTAATGAAAACCATTCTTTCTCTCATTTCCAGCGAAGCTTCCTGGGCTATGCCAGTTTTAAAGTGGGGGAACTACTGAAGTCAAAGGAGCAACTGCTAACCCTGAGCCTGAGGTGGGTCCCTACAGCAATGTTGTTAAAGTTAACCGTCCACAATATTTGCTGAAACCTGGTTGGGTGTGAAAGCCACAATTCTTGCGGATGTTTAGATGTCAGCACTCAAATGCCTTCCATTCTCCATTGCAACAACTTGCTCGTATATTCAAAACAGCAATTATTCAAGTTCACATTGAAGTTCATGTTTCAGACTGTCAAAGGTTATCAGCCCTTGTAGGAGAAAAATATGATATGATCATTAAGGTGATGACATTCTTTGAAAGTGAGAAAGTAAATAGAAATGATGAGCATGTTATTAAATAATTTTTGTTACTTATCAGAATGGTGCTTTTTAAATCAAGCACATTTCTAGGATTGAAATATGTTGGTTGGAGGCAATATTGCAGGACTATAATAATAGACGATAATCTGATTATTTTCTTTTTTAAAGTTTATGTTGTTGCTATACAATTAAATATACAATATAAGTTAAAATAGACTTCATACTGAAACAGACAATAGATAAGAGCTAATTTTGAGTGTGAATACAAGTTGTTTTGACATGGAAGATGAGACAACAATCTTTAGGAAGTTGCGCAGTGTTTTAATACTAGCAAGAGTACTAAATAGAACAAATATTTCTTTTTAACTTCATAATAAATTTGAAACAGTATGTTTTCTAACTGTGTAATAACTTTTATTGTTACGTAAACATGGAAAATACTGCCTGGCAATATTTGTATAGTATAAATGAATATAAAAATGGTACAGAACTGTATTTGCAATCTTACGATGTCCTTGTTTTGGTGAAACAGAGCGATCACTCTCAGGGAAGGGACAATATCTTAAGTTTGTTTGTTATCTGACCCAGCCTCCAAGGACCCACTCGTAACCAGCCGTTTATTTTAGTATAGGTCCTGTGCCTTATGTTGGAATCTGTACTGCTGTCTCCTTTTCTGATTCGTCCTGTCGTTTTCCTGTCCTGTCCTGACAGTTTTGCCTTTTGACTTAAGAGATAGTACAAAATAATTTTAAGTAATATATATTCACGTAGAAAAGTAAGCTCTGGTGGGTTCTAACGAGGCCACCGTCCTTTCTCTGGCTTCCTTTAGGCTACGTCTCTTAACCATCTCTTATTTTCTTGTTGTATTTTATTTGGGAATCCATTTAAATACTGTTATAGTTTTGTCATGTTATTCCCAATAAAATTTAGTTGCCGCTGTTTTCAGTTTGAAGTGTGTAAGGACCAGCTAAAAAGCCTAGCATTCAATGTCACTGATATGATAGAAAATACCTATTACCAACCTAGCATGGCGGTTAGATCTGACCCGAGTGTGGCTGGGTTCATATGAGATGCCAAACATCGAGCTAACTTAGAACTACTAGCAGGCCACATGTTTTCTGGATGAGATGCATAGCACTTGGTTTCTCCTTTTGCTGACTCACAAGCCACACAGTATTGTTTTTATCATAACTGCCATTAACAGCAGCACACTACACAACATTTAGACACTGCCTCTGAAACAGAAATCAGGGAACCAGAAATTCTTAGTGAAATGAAAATTAGTGAACACATACAATGTCTTAGAGGGAAGATGGGAAGATAAGGGTCAAATTTAGAGTAGGACCCTCAGAAAAAACTAGGAAGATAATAGAAGATATCAAGCAAGACAAAGTTCTACTTTTGATTTTAATACCCCTGATTCCTATTCATTTGATTTTGATTGTGTTTAAGGAAAACACATTTAACCACAAAGAACTGCATTTTCTACAAAAAAAATAAT